AGACTGTTTAATTAAATCTTCTAAAAAGTGTGGCCTACAGAGCATTATGTCTCTTTCCTTAAAAAAAAAAAATCAAAATTTGTAATTTCAATCTCGACAAAATATTTCCCCAGAGCATGCAATCGACACAATAGGACACGAATAAAAATTTTAAAACTTTTGAATTTTGGGTTTACTACCTCTGAACAGGTGGCCGACAAAATCTGTTTCTTTACCAAGCTTCATTAAAGGAACGACCTTACACTCTTTTTTTTTTTTTTGAAGTAGGAATTTTAAAGCCCATCGACTCAATTTAAATCATGGCGGGCTTCCGACCCCTGCCTGTCAGGGCCAACCGAGGCTGAGAGGGATATAACATCCCAGCTGAAAAATACTCGAATTAAGTTTCTCCCCATTCGGGAATCGAACCTGGGTCTCATGCGTGCGACAGCGAAACGCCTAACCGCCATACCACAGACACTGGCGAACTCACTCCGGATAGGGCTGGAACAGCAGCTAAATATAGACCGATGGTGGCTCTACGGATGAAATATTTTAATGGTTACAGTTTTCTCCTCATTGTTCATTGTTCATTGCTCATTGTTTCAGGAAACAACATCCCTGCACTCCGGACATGTCCATTGATGCTCCGTTGCTCTCTCGAAAATGTCGCCGAGGGTCTTTCCACTGATTGTGCCAGTGCATATCTGGTTGAACGTCCTTCTGTTCTGTCCTGCAAGGATTCCAGATTTTCTCACTGCGGTCTCAAGAAACAAAGACTACACGGGGAAGACTAGTGCAGTCCAAAATAACATTTCTTTTCTTCAAATCCCCACAATGCAGCATAATGATGACATAAACAGAGATACCTGGATACCTGGATACCTGGATACCTGGATACCTGGATGTGTCATCTCTGGCTCTTTAAGTTATAGTAAGAGTTTTACGGCGTTCGCAACTGCACAAGGTCATATGAGCGCCAGAAGATTAGAGGTGTTACAAGGGAGTAACAAACATAAAAGAAGAAAGGGAGATAAGGACGATATATATTTGATACGAAAGAAGGAGCAAACCACACCAGAGCACCCGCCAACCCTCCACATGTCTGGCTCTAAGGTTGACGTGCAATGCCCAGTTTTTTTTCGGGGTTTTGGGTTTTTTTTTTTGCTTACAGTCGCTTGCTGTCGTCTCATACTTCTATCATACTTAGGCTAGTCCATGTCTTGATGTCATCGGTTCAAATTGTTCTTTGTCCACCCTTAGCCCTTTTGCCCCGCATCTTGCCTTCGAGTACATGTATTTTCTTCAGAGTGGTCTGAAGGATGGATGGATGAATGGATGGATGGGTATATGGGTGAGTGGATGAATGGATGCATCGATGGACTGGTGGGTGGGTGGATGGGTGGATGGATGGATGGGTGGGTGGATGGATGGATGGGTGGGTGGGT